CTACCTGCTGACCGACTTGGGAGAGCGGCCTCGTTCTCCTCCAGTGCTGTACGTCGACAACAAGGCCGCCATTGCCTTGTGTCAGGAGCACAGACTAGAGCACAGAACGAAGCACATCGCTCTGCGTTACTTCCTGGCTCGAGAGTTGCAGCAGCGTGGTCAGCTTCGTCTTGCTTACGTGGCCATTCGGGCCAACACTGCTGATATATTCACCAAGGCACTTCCGTCTGGTGATCATCAGCGTTTCTGCACTTTGTTAGGCCTTGTGCCCACTTTTCCTCACTTGCTGTAAACTTTGTTTGTAATGTGATCTATATACATATATATATATACCTGCTTGCTTGCTCTGCTAGGTAGAGATCACTATCCTGTTATTGTTACGTATATATCTCTGCATGTGAACTGGCCTTGTGGCCTTTTTTTTGTGCTAAGAATGCGTGGTGACGTTGTGATCCACCCTGAGCTTGCTTTGCACTTGTGACCCTCTGTTCTCCCCCACTTTGCCTATGGGGGTGTGTCAAACATATAGTTATATGTTGTAGTTTGGGTAGGCTTTAGTGGGGTACTCACTGTAGGGTACAACCCCTTAGGTCATACTTCTGTACCAAACTCTCGATAGTCCCGAAGGTGCTCGTACTTGAGGTATTGGAGCTGCCGGAGCAGGTGGTGTTGCTGCTACTGGAGGTTTTGGAGGTGCTGGAGGTGCTGACCCTGGAGGTGCTCGTGCTGGAGGTACTGGAGCTCCCGGAGCTAGTGGTGTTGCTGATACTGGAGGTCATGAAGGTGCTGGCGGTACAGGGGTTGCCTGGAGTTGCTGGAGCCGCTAGAGCTGGTGGTGGTGCAGGTGCTGGAGATGGAGACGCTGGCGCTGGGGGTGCTGGAGCTGTCGGTACTGGTGCTGGAGGCACTGTGCAGCGGCGACTGTTTTTTGTTCGCCGTCGCCGTTGTCTCTGCCACCACCTGGCTCGGCACTTCGCCAGGTTCTGAGTCTTCCGTCTTCTACTGACCTTACTCCTCCCTTGCTGTGTCCACCGCCTGACCAGTCGCAGCCACAACTACAGCCAGACTCCCCACTGCCTGCCCCTTCTCCTTACACTGAGCACTCAGACTCTCTTACAGAGCGTCATGAGCCTGCGTCTCGCCCTGCCTCGCCTGTTCGCGCTGGTCGCACTAGTAGTCGTGTTCCGCGTCCGCGTCCTCCTCCTGTCCCCGGCACGCACCATATGGCACTTCGTCCTTCCTCTGTTCCACTACGTGTCCCCCTGCCGTCTCCTCCTGCGTCCTCCCTTGCTGACGGACCGGACCCTGAGTCTGACCTCCTTCGTGCTGCTAGTCCTACTGTCACGCGTCTTCTGGCCACTGTTGTCACTCACCCTTTGTTTGAGTCCACTGCTGCGTCTGCCCTAGTCGCTGAGCTTGTTGACTTTGCTGCTGTCTGTCGTCTCGACTACGCCGCTAGTCTTGTTGCTGAGTCTGAGTCTGTATGTCCTCCGTCCGTCGGGGGTGAGTGTGCTCTTGGCACGGACGTCCTTGAGGACAGGCAAGAGGACTTTGAGTGTTTTGCAGCTGCTGTACCTCATCTTGTGTCCATGCTGATTGCACCTGAGGGTGACCCGGATGCTCCAGACATCCAGACACCGCGCTCTTACGCAAAGGCGATAGAGGGTCCCTACTCTTCTCAGTGGCAGACAGCCATGGACGCAGAGATGGCATCCTGGAAGTCCACAGGCACTTACGTCGACGCAATTCCCCCTCCTGGGGCGAACATAGTCGATGGCATGTGGATTTTGAGGGTGAAGTGGCCGCCAGATTCTCCGCCTGCCTTCAAGGCTCGCTACGTTGCACGAGGCTTCAGACAGCGACAGGGGTTGATTTCTTCTAGACCTTCTCCCCTACCTCGATGATGACTACTCTTCGGGTACTGCTGCACGTCGTTGCTCAGCGTGACTACGAACTTCACTCTCTTGACTTCAGTACAGCTTTCTTACAGGGCAGCCCGCACGAGGAGATCTGGCTGCGCCGCCCACCTGGCTTCACTGGGTCGTTTCCTGTAGGTACCCTGTGGAGCCTTCGGCGGCCAGTCTACGGTCTCCGCCAGGCGCCTCACGAGTGGCATGACACATTAAGGACGACGTTTGCGGCTCTTGGGTTTGCTCCTTCGACTGCTGACCCGTCGTTGTTTCTGCCCACCGACACTTCGCTTCTGCCGTTCTACGTCCTCGTATACGTCGACGACTTGATCTTTGCCACTGCTGACACTAAGGGGCTGGCCCTAGTGAAGTCGAAGCTGCAGAAGAGACATACGTGCACAAACCCAGGTGAGCTGCATAGCTATCTTGGCTTGTAGATCACCCGGGACAGAGCACGCCGCACCATTACCCTGACTTAGTCACACATGGTGCAGCAGGTCCTTCAGCGCTTTGACTTCTAGTACTCCTCGCCAGAGTCCACTCCTCTGTCTACCGGTCACTCTCTCTCAGCTCCACCTTCGGACGAGTCCGTAGAGCCGTGTGGCTCGTATCCAGAGCTTGTGGGCTGCCTCATGTACCTGATGACCTGCACTCGACCTAACCTTGCCAACCCTCTTAGCATCCTGACACGCTACGTTGCGCCCGGGAGACACCGACCAGAGCACTCGAAGGCCGCTAAGAGGGTGTTGCGCTGCTTGTGCAGTACGTCGGGTATGTGGCTCGTGCTTGGAGGACAGGGTCCAGTTGTCCTCACTGGACACGGAGACGCTTCTTGGGCTGATAACTTGGCTACGCAGCGGTCGTCACAGGGTTACACTTTCAGTCTTGGCTCCGGCTCTGTTTCTTGCCGGTCTACCCGCTCGTCTTCTGTTCTCGGTTCAAGTTGTGAGGCTGGGATCTACGCAGGGGCTATGGCTGCACAGGAGTTACGCTGGCTCACCTACCTGCTGACCGACTAGAGAGAGCCGCCTAGTTCTCCTCCAGTTCTGTACATCGACAACAAGGCCATGATTGCCTTGTGTTAGGAGCACAGACTGGAGCACAGGACGAAGCGCATCGCTCTGCGTTACTTCCTTGTTCGAGAGTTGCAGCAACGTGGTCAGCTTCGTCTTGATTACGAGGCCTCTCGGGCCAACACTGCTGGTATATTCACCAAGGCACTTCAGCATTGTGATCATCAGCGTTTCTGTATTGTTTTAGGCCTTGTGCCTACTTGGCCTCACTTGCTTACTTCTTGACTTTGCTAGTACTGTGATTTATGTACTGTGTTAGTTTCACCATTCTCGCTTTCACATCATAACAGAATTTCCCTCTGATACTACGTCGAAATCTCAGCTGTTAATTGCTCTGATGTAAGGGGGCTTGTTGTGTAGCGGGTGAGCGCGGCCATACCCCCCTTGGCCAGCGTGCTTTTAGCACTTCCCGATAATCGATACGGCATCCGCAGTGCAGGTTTTCTAATAAGTACGATCAGACCGAGTGAGTGAGTCATACTAGGTGGTGATTAATGTTCACAATTGAGTTCTTTATTCAATATACATTGCATACAAAATGCACATACAAAGGCTCCTCAGAGTTTGATAGAAGTAGGCACAAATTATGCTCGCTCAGTGCATTTTAGTTGTGTGCAAATGGGTCCTTTGCCGCACACCAGCACGGCACCCCCCTTCGGCAAAGGGGTCTCGCGGAATGGATTTTCGCGCCATCACAAATTATTCATGGTTCCCCCCAGCAGCACACTCATTGGCCCTTGATGTGCCTGCATGGGTGATGATTCAAGCATGCCGAACCGCATCGACGAACATGAAACATCGCCATGGTGTTGTGAAGCGATGCGTCTAGTTCGCAGGATCACGTCCGCGACAGCCGAGAAGGCGCACGGCATGCTTCGCCTCGGCTCGCACTGGCAAGGCATTCTGCAGAACATTCTCACCTGCTTGCCGTCGCTCAAAACAACCCACACCATTGCATGCCATGCGAATCTCGCCTTCCTTGCCATTTGTTGGGAGGATCCAGCAATATCAGTCCAGTTGAGTCAGCACCACCGGCTTATGCCAAGAAGGGGGGGTTCTCGCGTCGCGGGGGGAAGCATTTCCGCATGGGCGGAAGCGGGATGCTCTTCGACTCAATGCAGGCGTGTAATTTTGTCCCTGCCGCCGTCACCGATGTTCCAACCTAATTACCGCACTGTGCTGCTTTTGAACACGTTTTATCGTACTAACATCTTCTCCAGTGCATGCTGGCTTTTTCATCGACATGAATGGAAACCATCCAGGAACGATGATACGATGCTCATATGCTATGCTACTTGCTGCCTTCTTGTAAAGTCTGCCGCCATGGAGAGGCATACGGATCGGTCTGGATGGGTGTTCCAGCTACATATGACTGTTTTTGCAAAATTATTTCCTGCAATGCATTGAAGTGAGGCAACGAGACCACGTGGTCAAGGGAAGGGTGCTCCCAGTTTCGTCCATGGCGTGCCGTCGCCCAGCATACGCGATCCGTAAAGCTAACGGCTGTGTCAACCTTCCACAACGCTATTCTCGCATTCTCATATAGCACGTCGTGGCCTTGGAGTCACATGTCACACGTAGCACAAGTGCTGGTCTCGGAGACCGACATTCCCCATCACGCATCCTCAAAACGAATCTACACCCTCGTAAAGCGCTTAGCATAAATCGTTGACATTTGCTGCTACCTCCTACAAGACCCGATTGCGGTACAAAGGACCTTTCCGGCAGAACCATCGATGCGAACTCACCAGATATTATTCTCACCGAGGAGATATCTGGCAGACATCGTTAACGTTTCGCAATGGACGATTCTGACATCTGCCAGATGAGCTTGTCCTCGTGTGGTAGTCTAGATTTTCCGTACCACTCCGAGCTTACCAACCTCGAAAGGACCCCTAGTGGAGCCATGTTTAACAGCCAGATTATAGGCGAAGAGTCTCAATTGGAGAGATTTCGGAGAGTAGAAGGTTCTAATAGGCGATGGAAGCTCGGCGAGGATGCGCGGCCCGACGCGAGGATGGAGCCTGATCCGAGCCTAGCGCCGGACAGCATTCCCCAAGACACCATCCTGAAAGCGGCCGTTTCGCCTGAGCTAGTAATAGACTCTAAAGCGGCTATCGCGCCCGTGTCTCGAACGAGCGTTGGGCTCAAGGCCACGTCGGAGAAAATCTTCGTGTCGGTCCGCGTGCGACCGTTGAACAGGAAGGAGGCGGCGAGCGGGGATAAGGTAGTGTGGCGCATTCAAGAACCCAACACGCTCCATTTCCTGCAGCCGCTTCCCGAGCGCTCGCCGTACCCGGCTGCTTACACTTTCGGTGAGCGCTCAAATTGTCAATCGTCTCTCTTATAAGACCGTTCACCGGCAGTTTGCACACGTTCGTCCTGCTCGCATAGGCAGCACGCTTGTAGGGGTTTATGAGGAGGTATCGCAGTATGGAGGAGCGCATAGCTGAATTAATTTCGTTTGTCATGCGTGCGTGCAGACCGTGCGTTCGGTCCCGCGTGTCCGTCGGATCGGGTGTACGAGGAAGGAGCCAAGAACATTGTGCTGTCCGCGCTCTCCGGGATCAACGGTGCGTTCACTGCCTTGTACTGTATCAAACTTTCGTACCACGGTCTCGTGAACTTCACCGTCCAATGTTAACTGGTCTCTGTTTCCGGTGTATGCTGCTCTTTCTGTGTTGCCAGCGTCGATATTCGCCTATGGCATGACAAGCAGTGGGAAGACGTACACCATGGAGGCCATTACTGATCTTGCCGCTTGCGACATCTTCACGCACATTCGGAATGTGAGTCGATTACACGGAATCTTTCAATGCCAGATCTTCTCAGAAACATTGACAGTGTCAATGATTATCACGGACATTCACAACGAAAACCTCTTCGGGGCCTATGTGTCTGTTACGTGTTTTCACGGACATTTCCACCTTCATGTTTCTCCCTGTACATTCGCAATGTAAGTAATGCTCATCGATATCCCCAAGGTCGGTTTCGTGAACATGCACAATATCGGTTGAATTCATGAAGGTTCGCATTCTTAGTTGTCGTCACCACATTCACAACGTCAGTTAACTGAAGAAGTTCACAGAATCAGTTATCTCCGCGAGCATTGGCATTGTCAGCCTTTACGGGCATCACAATGTCTTGGCATGGACATTCACATCGTCAGCCTTTCGTCATGGTTGTTCACGGAATCAGTTTTTTTCGTGGACTCCGACTACGTTGGTCCTATTCATGCACTTTCAGAACGTCATTTTTCGCCTTGCAAGTTCGCAATGTTATCTGTATCCCCAAACGTTCGGTGGCTTCGTGGACATCAACAATGCCAGTAGTCATCAAGGACATTCACAATGTCAGCTCTGTGTGTGTGTGTGTGTGTGTGTGTGTGTGTGCATGCGCAATGTGCAAATGTGAGCAGAATCCGCATCGCAGCTTCCTGGTGAAGCTGTCAGCTATCGAGATCTACAACGAGATTGTCCGGGACCTCCTCAACCCGGACTCCGGGCCCCTCAGGCTCCTCGATGATCCCGAGGTAACCATGCAATTCACGAATTCGTAACGTTTGAAGCCTTTTGACAATCTCAAGGTACCCCGGGTCGTAAATTCCAAGACCCTTTCTTGACCATTGCCGACCCAGGAATCAACGCGATGTACCCTCACGGCAGCTGCAGGCTCAAGTGACCGTTTAAAACATTCCTCTCCCGCCTTGCTCCCACCATGCCTTGGCGTGCAGAGGGGCACGGTGGTGGAGCGACTGACGGAGGTGGGCGTGGAGTCCAAGGGCGACATGCAGCGGCTGCTGGCGCAGTGCGCGGCGCACAGGGAGGTGGGCGAGACGTCTCTCAACGACGCCAGCTCCAGATCGCACCAGATCACTCGCCTCGTGAGTGTGGCGTGTGTGTGGAATGTGTGCTGTGTGTAGTCAGTGCGAAAATGTGTGCTCAACGAGTGTGTGTATGTGTGCGTGTGTGTGCAATCCTTAAGTTACGCCCCTCACAATGCTCCCACATTCAACTGGTGCTCTCTCCCCTCCCTCCCTTACCCTCCCCCTATCGATCTCGCCACCCTACATCTCCTCACTTTCCCATTTTTCCAATTTCCTCATATCTTCTTCATGTTCTCCTTATTTTCATTCCCCAGCTGGTGGAGAGCTGTCCCAATGCAATGTCACCAGCGGCACTACCTCCAACCCCCCCACCGGCTATACCCGTGCCAGCAGACGCTGCTGCCACCCAAATGCTCTCCGCCTCGCTGGTGAGCGACTTGCGCCCTTCAATTCCAGTCCACCTGATGTATGGAGTCTGATTAAGTGATGAGATTTCACAACTTGCTGTGATGTCATGCCACACTAATTCAACTCGCCTTCGTCTCCTGAATGCGTCTCCCCCCTCCTCTCCCTCCCCTCCTCCGTTTCTCCCCCTTCCCCGGGCTCCTCAGCACCTGCTTTACTCATCTCCTCACCTGCCTTCTCCCTTTCCCTCCCGCTCGTTCCATTTTCTCTTCTTTGTGCTATCCCCCTCCGCTGCTTGGCCCGTCCCAATGAAATGATGCCACGTGGCTGGAGCAGAACTTTGTGGACCTGGCGGGCAGTGAGAGGGCGTCTCAGACGCACGTGGCGGGCACACGCCTCAAGGAGGGGTGCCACATCAACAGGAGCCTGCTCACTCTTGCCACCGTGATCCGCAAGTTGAGCACGGGCAGCAGGGCCAAGGCGGGGCACATCCCCTACCGGGACTCGAAGCTCACGCGCATCTTGCAGCAGTCGCTGGGGGGCAACGGGCGCACAGCCATCATCACCACCATCAGCGCCGGGAGGACCCACCTGGACCAGACGCGCAATACTCTCGCGTTCGCGCTGAGAGCCAAGGAGGTCACCAACTCGGCGTGTGTCAACGTGGTGAGTGGCTGTGCTGTGGCAATTGCTGTGTGGGGGTGAATTGCACTGTGTGTGTGTGTGTGTGTGTGGGGTGGTGCAAGTGTGGGTGTGTGGGTTTTCACAGCATCTTTTCGCCTCCCTACGTCCCTCTCCCTTACTGGTCCCGCCATCCCTCACCCTTACCGCTTCCTCTCCCCACCAGGTGGTGACGGACAGAGCACTGGTGGAGCAGCTGTAGGGGGAGGTGGCCCTGGTGCGGCTGCTTCGTCCTCGCTTCATCCTCCTCACTTATTTCCTGCCACCACCCTCCCTTACCACGTCCCTTCTTCTCCCCCATCAGGTGGTGACGGACAGAGCACTGGTGGAGCAGCTGTAGAGGGAGGTGGCCCTGGTGCGGCTGCTTCGTCCTCGCTTCATCCTCCTCACTTATTTCCTGCCACCACCCTCCCTTACCACGTCCCTTCTTCTCCCCCATCAGGTGGTGACGGACAGAGCACTGGTGGAGCAGCTGCAGAGGGAGGTGGCGCGGCTGAAAAGCGAGATGCGGCTGCGGCCGTCCAGAGAGCAGTTCCACCAGCAGGCCGTGCGCATGCAGCAGGTACGAGGGGAGGAGGGGTGTAGCAGGTGCGTGGGGAGGAGGGTGGCATGTGGCAGTTGCATGGGGAGGTGTGAGAAATGCGGGGTGGGATACAGGGAGAGTGAGGAGCGAAGAGCGGGGGAGAGGAGGAAGTGAGGAGAAAATTATGCACGGCAGCCGTCTCTCTTTTGTACAACGCCCATCTTCTCCTTCGGGCCTGTGTGCCTTCCACCGACCCTGCCACGACTCATCTGCAGCTCCAAGCAACCTTTCTCATCTCTCCCTTTTTCATCTCTCCCCCTCCCTCCCCCTCCCCTTTCCTCTCCCCTTTCTTCCTCTCCCCACTCCCCATTACAGCTGTTCTGCAGCTCCTCTAGACTGATCCAACCCCCACTCCTTCGTCTCCCTCTGCCTCCCCCATCTCCCCCCACCCCCGGCCCTCCCCAACACGCCAGTTGGAGGCGCAGCTGTCGCAGGCGGCGAGGCAGCAGAGCGAGGCACTGGCTCAGGTGCAGCACCTCACACACGCGCTCTCCGCTGCCTCCTCCTGCCACAGCCGCTCCCAAGGCAGTTCCCACGGCAGGCGACGAGCACACGCAGCCTGGCAGAGTGGCAAGGTACGCTCCTCTCTCTCTCTCGCTCTCACTCGCGCTCTCACCTCACCTGCTGCCACCTGCCAGGGGTTCACCCCCTGCCAGGTGGCAAGGTGAGAGAGAACGTTTGGGAGACACGGGGTCAGAGCGGTGGGAGGGATAAGCACTGGGCAGGGCATTTATTCAAAAGAGAGCAAGGGGAGTGGCACGAGTGGCTTCTTTGACCCTGCTTGCACTCTTGTACCTGGTTTGACTCGGGCACTCTTCCCCTCTGAACTCTTCTTCACCCCTGCACTCTTTGAGGCGCCTCAAAAACCGCGTGAACTGAGGCGATTTTTGAGGCGCCTTAAAAAATATTGTACCTGTGCTGACTCGGCACTCTTCCCCTCTGAACTCTTCACCACTGCACTCTCCCCTTTCCCTGCAGGTGCACCCGATCTCCAGCATCAACGTCTCAGAGTCATCCGATGATGAAGCGGACGGCTGGGATCGCTTCACGCCGACCTGCTTCCCGGCATCCAAGCCGTTGGACCTCGTGCTGCCCACGTGCTTCCCTGGTAGCTTCACCAGGCGACCCAGCAAGCAGCAGAGGGAGAAAGACGCCTCGTTTCATGCCTCCGCTGCCGCCGCCACCGCCGCCGCTGCTTCTCCTCCTGCTGGTGTGGCTCAGCTGGCGCCAGGGGAAGGGGTGGCTCAGCTGGCAGGTGGGCTGGTTGTGGGCGGCAGATGGTTGTCCTCTAGCAACAGTGGCTGCGATGCTGCAGGGGACGGTGGTCATACCCGTCGGATCTCCAAGTCGAGATTTGCCAGCAGCAGCAGCAGCATGGGAGGGAGAAGGGAGAGAGGCGAGGCTGGAGAAGCGGCCGTGGGGGTGAGTGGGAGGGGAGGAGAGCAGCAGGCGCACGCAGCAAGGGGACGGATGACATGGGAGGAGAGCACAAGAGCGAGGGAGGGAGAGCGGCAGTGGGAGCAGCATGAGGGAGGGGAAGCCGACGAGCGAGAGATCAGCCAGAGGAGGAGCGGTAGGCTAGGAAGGGACCAGGGAGGAGGCTCGTTTGGCAGAGAGAGCGTGTCCCGCCAGTCGCTGCAGTCCCTCCATTCTCTCCAGTCACTGGAAGCGTGGGTGGCGGGGGGCAGGGCGAGGGAGAGGCGGCGGCGGCGCAAGGCGGTGAGCGCCAAGGTGCTGGCGCTGATGCACGAGATCCAGCGCCTGGAGAAGCTGCAGGACGCCCTGGGGGACGACGTGGGGCGCGCCATGGGGGCTCTTCAGGGGGAGATGGAGCGCATGAGAGCCAGGCAGCAGGGGCAGGCGCACGGGCACAGGCAGGGGCTCGGGCAGGGGCATGGGCAGGCGCATGGGCAGGGGCAGGGGCAGGGGCAGGGGCAGGGGCAGGGGCAGGGGCAGGGGCAGGGGCAGGGGCAGGGGCAGGGGCAGGGGCAGGGGCAGGGGCAGGGGCAGGGGCAGGGGCAGGGGCAGGGGCAGGGGCAGGAGAGTGAGAGTCTGTCAGAAGGCGGCGTGCAAACGCCCCTCAGCCACCTCTCTGGAATCCTGACGCCCCCATACCACTGCGTGTCTGGACTTCTCACCCCCTCCTCCAACATCTCCTCCTGTTACGCGTCTGGCCTCCTCACCCCGCTCTCTCACCAGCTCTCTGGCCTTCTCACGCCCTCGTTAGCCTCCCAGCCTGTGTCAGGCTGCTTGTCCACTGCTGGTGGCGCTGCTGCCATCGCTGCTGCCACTGCTGCCGCCACTGCTGCTGCCACTGCCACGGGGGGGAGTGCAAGCAGGGGGGCTTCTTGTGCTACTGCGAGCAGGGACGGGGACGAAGGGCGTGCCAGCTTGCTCCAGCTCCATGCAGAGCTCTCGAGGCTCACAGTGAGAGACGAGAAGGACGCAGAGCGAGGCAGCAACGGAGCTTCTGCTGCTGCTGCCCCTGCTGCTTCTACTCCTGCAGCTGCTGCTGATGATTCGGCCGAAAATGCAGCTGCCCCTGCTGCAGAGGGAGCGAGGGAGCTTCTAGCTGCTGCTGACGCTGGGGTTGCAGGGATAGGGTTTGACATGGGATGCCTTGCGGACCCCTCTGCCATGACCCGGTCCTCCTCCCAGGACCTCCAGCGGATGGAGTTCCTGTTTCAGTCGGCAGCAGAGGTGAACGTGGCGAGCATTCGCACGTACGTGCTTGAACTGAAGGAGATTGTAGCGAAGCTGCACTACCAGAAGCAGCTGCTGGTGAAACAGGTGGTGGAGCTGGAGGCGGGTAGGCTAGGCGAGGAGGACGAGGATGAGATGGAGGAGGATGATGATGAGGATGAGGAGGCAGAGGGAGGGGGAGCTGGGGACAGAGGCTGGGGCAATGAGGAGGAGGATCGAGGGATGGGGAGAGCACAGGGGGGACGAGAGGCCAATGGTAGAGAAAGAAGAGGGCGATGGAACCGAACAGATTCAGGGCATGCTTCTGGAGCAGCATGCATTGAAACACCCGCCAACGCTCGTCCCCGACAGCATCAGCCTGGCCTTCCCCCTTATATTGTTCCACACTTTGAATCGGGGTTCAGGGAGGAGATGAGAGAGACTGTGGTGCTGTGGGACCGCTGCCAGGTGTCGCTCATCCGTCGCACGCAGCTGTTCCTTGTGCTGATGCAAGGAGAGCCGTCGGATCGGGTGTACCTGCAGGTGGAGAGGCGTCGGCTGCAGTGGCTCGTACAGCACGTGGGGGCAGAGGGGCAGGCCGCCAGGTAAGCCTCTTCTTGGGTGTTTGGCATGTGACAAACACATGGGGAGAGGAAGGGCCAACATGTGTATGCCTCAAACTATAGGGCGTGCTGATGGTGTACTTCCGAAGTCCCTGTGGTCTCCTCGACTCTCTACCTTGCTCGATGCAGATTCATTCTCTGCTCTGATCTGATGGTGTACATTTTCCCTCCTTTTCTGCTCCCTTCTCTCCCCTTGTCTTTTCCCATGGCTCCACATTATCGTGTCGCGGTTGGTATTCCAGGGAGAGGGAGCTGAGGAAGGAGAGGGAGTACCTGGCCCAGCGAATGGCCCACTGCTTCACACTCCATCACCGCCTCGAGCTCTTCCGCCAGTGGGGCATTGCCACGTCATCGCGCCAACGCAAGCGCCAGCTGGTTGTGCTCCTGTGGAGCCGGCCGCTCGATGAGCGCCACACGGAGGCTAGTGCTCGGATCGTGGGACGGCTGACTGGGATGATTGAAAGTAGCGCGGGGGAAGGAGGTGGGGAAAGAGGAGGTGTGGCTGGTTGGAAGGGAAGTGGAGGGAGGGATGTGTTGAGATTGTGCAAGGAGATGCTCGAGTTGCGGCTGATTGTGCCCTCAGGATATCGAGGGCTCATGCCAAAACGTCGGCGGAAGTGGTTTTGACAGGGTGGGGAAACTTTGCTGACAGACGTAGGGAAACATATTAGCATCTAAATCTGATGCATGCAGGCCAATCAGGGAAATGCTCCAGGCAAGTAAGAAAAGGTGAATAGCAGCAATAGCTGCCTATAGTATCTTACCGTATGTTATACTAAATAAAAGGCCTGGAACATTGCAAACTGTTATATCTGGCCGGTATATACAGGTCGTTAGGCTGGTATCTGGCCTACAGAGGGTTCTGGCCTCGGTAGTCCTGAAACACAACATACCGTAGGTATCTGTGCAGCTAACCAAGTTAACTAGAAATCTTATTTGCTGCACCGCTGTCAACATATTAGCTAAATCCCGCTGTAGTTGTCATTGTTTGGTAACAAATTGGACCTTTCAGTTGCCCTCGATCTTCCCATTGCCACCGTTCTCTTGTCCAGAGACCTGGCACGTTTTACGGAAGTCAGCAGCATTCCATTAGGATGATCGGCTGGAACGGATCCCGTCATTCCTGGCTGCTCCAGGTAATCCATGGAACTCGCGCGCCACAGTGTTCTGAAAAACGCCGCATCGTTGGCTGATTGATTTGCAGATGCGTCAGGTTGTCGAGATGATGTACTATTACGTGCACGACGGACTCTTTGAGATGACGGAACCAGAAAACAGGTGCTTCCAGGCTGAAGAACAACACATGGACGAAGAGGATTGACGGGATCCGAATCCTTGCAGACAACAGAATTAGGGTAATCTTGCTGAACCTGCCGTACCGTCACCCGGTCCCAGTAGAGTCGAGCTGCTCCGCTTGGAAGAAGGAGAACGCACGGCGAGGATTGCATCATGGGATGATGATGATCGGAGCGAGAGATGGGGAGAAGGTGATTCTTTCACTGCTCGCAACTTGACACAGAGCGCAGTTCTAATACAAAGACAACGTGAGCTCTGTGCAGATGGCTTATTATATTATCCCTGAGCTATCCTCCTACTACGAGGCTCGACTGTCAACGTAACGCAAGGACGTACGGTTTATATAAGCATGAAGGAGGAGTCGAGCGGTTAGCCTGGTTCATGCTTCTATGCTGCTACCGTTTCGAGGTGCAGCAAAAGGAAATATCTTGATTCTGATACAGAAGGCGAAAGCTCCAATCAGATCGCAGCCATGCGGGATACGGCGAAAAAGGCAGGACAGAAGGTTCCGAGGAAGCACCAAGGAGAATCAATTTGACCGTTCTTTTGAGCGCAATGCACCGACGTGCTTAGTGGCTTTTGAGGCGACTTTAAAGGCACTGGGGAGTAAGTACCTTATCCGTTTCATAAGCGCGACCAAGATGGGTAAGGGGGAAGCAGGAAAGCGACGTTTTCGACGTTTTTGAGCTATCTAAATCAAATCGACCTGCTGCAAAATGCAGAAAACGGCATCTCCCTCCCACGAAACGATTTCAAATTGCAAGCTTGTACGACTTGCGTGATACATGTTCCCGACGTGGAACGACATGCTGTCGAACGACGTGCAATGTTCATGAATGACAGCGCCTGCTACTACTGTACGAGGCACATTTATGCACTTTTTATAGAGGGAAGTCTACGGTGGCTCTAGAAAGAAATGCTTGTTTCCTTGGTCTCGACGGTTCAAGAACGAAATCCGATTTTCCGTAAAATAGTCCACCCCTGGATGGGAGAATGCTCGTCGCTCGGATTGGATCTGCTAAAATGGCAATGCTCGCTCGAACCAACTTGGACGCGACGCGACGGTTATAATTAGGGCCCTGAGCTAACAGAAGGTGTGCGTCAGAAGCAGCATAAGCTCGACGAATTGCAGAAGGATCAAGTGCCACTTGGGGGAGGTAGTGGAAGATAGTTCACGTGGGGCGGTGCTCCGGGGAATGCCGTTTCGGAATGTGCTTCATTTTCGGGTCCAGGTCCTGACTGGATGGTCAGTTGTTGGTGAGTCCAACGAACCTGTCCATTTCAGATGTTGCTGCTGAGCCAAATCCCTGAATCCTGACTCCCGCTCCGAAGACGACACTGCTTGCGGTGCGTGGAACAATGCGACCTACAAGAACCTTTCATCCTCCACATAGAAATATAGTGTTCAACGCAATAACCTTCTTTTTAGGTGTTGACACTCAATAATTTACAAGAGTAGCTAAGTACAGTCGAGCTTCACTATCTGGATCCGTCGAACCAGTTAGCCACTGCAATATTCAGCGGCATCAGCATCCAGTCAGATGTGAACGATGTCCAATAGCTGGTGCCGCCAATCCCATGTGCATATGCATTCAGTAAGAACACTCTGATATTGTCATGTGGATCATTGGCGTATTCCTGCAGGGAGGTGGTTACTATGGAGCCATGGTTCAGCACCGCAGTGCGTTCTTCAGGTCTACAGCCCTGCTGCTGCTGCTGCTGCTGCTGCTGCTGCTGTTTCCCTCTTTGATTCACCTGCAGCGGCTGCTGCATTTGATTCTGTTCCTGCACCTGCTGCTCCTTTGCAGTGTAGCCGTTCTTGCTTTGACCGGCACCAAAGCTGCTGACAGGTCTGCTCACAGCCTGATCACCAGTGTTACCATTTGCAACAACGGCACGGTCACCATTGCTCCCATTGCTGCTCCTGCTGCTCTCCGCTATGTTGACGCCACCTGAACCAGCTTCACCGTAACCACTTCCCAAAAAGCCTTCGTGGTAATCACTGTCAACCATGCCAACACTTGTGAATACAGCACCACCATCACCACCCAGCATCTTCGGTTTTGCTGTCTCCCCATCAACCCCTCCCCTCAAACCTCCCCTCCCTCCCGCCAGCCTGCCCCCTTCCCCTCCTCCCCCCATTCCAGCACCTCCTGTCCAAAACCCCGCTCCGCCACTCAATCCCCCGCCCCCTCCCCCCCCGGCACCCCATCGGAGACCAAACAGACACTCTTTGGCGTGTTCATGGCCCCAGGGCAGCTGGCCCCCAATCATGAGCGTTATGGGGTCGAAGAGCGTGTTGAGGATGAATATATCGGAGGTGACATAAGCAAGCGAGTACTGCGGAAAGAAGCAGCGCCACTGGGTTTGACTCGGAAGATCTGCCGAGTGGAGGGAACCGGGAAAGAGAGGTGGGGAGATGACTTTTGAGTCGACTCAAAGGTCAACTCGGGAAGAAGCAGTGCCACTGGGCTTGACTTGGCACTGGGCAGTGCCAAGTGGAGGGAACCGGGACAGAGAGGTGCGGGAGAAGGGGAGGAAGGATTTTGGCGGAGCGCGAGGGAAGGAAAGGGGGAGTTTCAGAAAGCTAAAGCTTTGAAGAATTGAACATCTGGTGCACAGGCCTTGAACTTTGTGTGATCTCTGCAGTGTCTCACAAAGAGCGACCCTCACTCTGGCTGCATCAAGGATTGAACAACTGGTGTACAAGCCTCAATCTCTACTTCACCGAGAAAGACCCTCACTCTGATTGCACTTGGGGTTGAACATTTGGTGTAGCTGTGTCGCATTCTCTGCTACCTCTCTGAAAAAGGAACGCCCCTTCCTGTCAGGCGCGTCTGATGGCGAGCAGACAGGCGGGCAGGCAGGAGGGTAGGCAGGCGGATGATTGACACCGGTGAGTGACGTGGATGAATGGCATCGGTGAGTGGCATGGATATATGACACGAGTGAAGAGCAGATCACGATAGAGTCATATGACACCACAAGTGCAACAATACCAGTGTAATAGTGTTGACTGAGAAGTGCTGTGATGGGGAAAAGGAAGGGGAAGGGGAAGGGCAAGGGCAAGGGCAAGGGCAAGGGGAAGAAGGGCAAGGGGAAGGCAAGGGCAAGGGGGAAGGGCAAGGGGAAGGGCAAGGGGAAGGGCAAGGGGAAAGGGCAAGGGAAGGGCAAGGGGAAGGGCAAGGGGAAGGGCAAGGGGAAGGGCAAGGGGAAGGGCAAGGGGAAGGGCAAGGGGAAGGGCAAGGGGAAGGGCAAGGGGAAGGCAAGGGAAGGGCAAGGGGAAGGGCAAGGGGAAGGCAAGGGAAGGGCAAGGGGAAGGGCAAGGGAAGGGCAAGGGGAAGGGCAAGGGGAAGGGCAAGGGGAAGGGCAAGGGGAAGGGCAAGGGGAAGGGCAAGGGGAAGGGCAAGGGGAAGGGCAAGGGAAGGGCAAGGGGAAGGGCAAGGGGAAGGGCAAGGGGAAGGGCAAGGGGAAGGGCAAGGGGAAGGGCAAGGGGAAGGGCAAGGGGAAGGGCAAGGGGGCAAGGAAGGCAAGGGGAGGGCAAGGGGAAGGGCAAGGGGAAGGGCAAGGGGAAGGGCAAGGGGAAGGGCAAGGGGAAGGGCAAGGGGAAGGGCAAGGGGAAGGGCAAGGGGAAGGGCAAGGGGAAGGGCAAGGGGAAGGGCAAGGGGAAGGGCAAGGGGAAGGGCAAGGGGAAGGGCAAGGGGAAGGGCAAGGGGAAGGGCAAGGGGAAGGGCAGGGGAAGGGCAAGGGGAAAGGCAAGGGGAAGGGCAAGGGGAAGGGCAAGGGGAAGGGCAAGGG